AAAAAAGCCAAAAAAAAAAAAACACTCAAAAGGGTCTATCTGCAACAATAGAATTGAAGGGGTTTATCTGCAACTAGGCGACAATACAGAGGGTCTATTTGCAACGATAGTACATGGATTCTATACACAATTAATCCTATAAATAAACCCCTTGAAGAAAATGAGATATGCATCCGCAATCTGATTAAGGACGGGATTCTCAAATTAGTCCTTGCATTTCCTTTGGCACTTTATTAAGTGCTGCTCTCGCTTTCCTGGGCCTCCCTCTAGTAATTGAAGGTGCAGTAACGATATCAACAGGATCACCAAAAGATGAACTCACCTCCAAATCTGAAGCAGCAGCTTCATCAACACTCGGCATGCCTCTCACATGATTCAAAAGTCTGCTCAAATGCCACTCCACATAATCAAACCGATCTTTAGTCACAGCCGATTCTTGAATTATAATTGATGCAAGTGAACGCAATGCCTGAGACCGATACTTTTGCCCATTGCTTTTAGGAAATAATGAGCTATCACGCCTCCATCGAGTCAATAAGTACCTCTCTGGAACTAAAAAACCATTTTTTAACGAAAGAACTCTCACAGTATGCTTACATAGAATTCCCAAAGACTCAAACCCTTTGCAACTGCATTGAAGTTCTTCATCTGACGGAACACAGCAAACAATACACCCTCCTTCTGGTTTCAGGTAGTGGCGAACGAGGTAATTCTGAGGCGCAGTTGTTTCGTAAACTGCTAATTCTGTTGACGCCATGATTTCTTTCTGAAACATCTCGAAAGCATAGTGGGTGAGGATAGTTGACGCATGCTCTTCGATGGGCATGAATGTTTTCATCACGATATCTTTTTGGTTTTGTCGTGTTGTTGCTTCTTCTTCTGCTTGATTTTGGAAATCAACCGCAACACCCACCTAAAGAAGTATGATAAAGGACATCAGATAGTTAAAACTCTTTGGTTGCAAGAAATCTAATTTTATAGGGAATATGGAACCCTGAAAAACTGGGTCAAGAATGTAACCTTCTGCTTTCTGTTTGATCCATGAGGAATATGGAACCTTATTATTTTCATGCTTAGTGAAAGAAAAAAAGTTTTATGAAGCGAGCTCACAGAGCCAAATAGACCCAAGTAAATAAATTAACTTACGGAGAAATCCATAGAATCAGAAAAAGAAAAGAGAAATCCAATGAGATAAATGTAATTTGAATCCTGGCCTATTGAATTTGTTATAACATAGAAATCTGAAAAACTGAATTAAAAAAAAAATAAAGCAAGCTTATGCTTCAGAAGATTTTTCAGTTTTCTTTTGGTTGGTTCCGTGTGGAAATTTGAAACTTAACTTCCATCCTTCACCTCTTATAAAACAAGCTCAAAAAACCAAATTAGACCCAGATTGAAGAAATCACCTTATGACGAAGACTGACTAAAGAGTGTAGCTTATGATTTCAGAAGATATTAGCTTTCCTTTCTGGTCGCTTCCATACGGAAAATGGAACCTTGGCCATTTTGATCCATCATGAGAAATTTACTTCTTACAAATCAAGCTCATAAAACCAAATATACCCAACTAAAAAAATTAACTTAAGATGAAAATGCTTAGAAAGATATTTACCTGTTCCACGAAATCTTTAAGTCGTGTTTGCGAATCCAAGAATCCTTTGAAGAAAGATTTAAATGAGATGGAATGACCATTTGTCAACAGTCCTCCAAAAAACCAACCTTGCAAGTACGGTAAAGCCCAACAGTTACGAAGTGAATAGAGTAGATTTATATGCCTATCGAAGCCAAGGGCAAACTCATTGACTATCTCCACCCATCCATGCTCGAACTCCTCTACGGACTCAAACTCATATAATTTCTCAAATGCCAACTTGAATCTGTCATATTGAGAATCAAGCGGGGTAGAAAACCAGCTTGGCAACTTGGACATAAGATGCACCATTGGATATGCATGCTTTGTGTTTGGCAACTCGTTGAAGATAGCATCTTTAAGCCTCATATCTATATCGGTCAGTATTGTTTGTGGGGTATTTCCATCCATAAGACGGACAAATGCCTAACAAAGAGAAAACAGATATTATCAGGCAGCATTGACGGTAAGGTACAAATCAAATTGGGCTAATTGCAGATAGACCCCCTAAGTATTTTTTCTCTCTCTCTTTTACCCTTAGGAGGTCTATTGTCAAAAAGAAAAAAAGAAATCTCTTTCTCTGAATGGTAAAAGAGTCAAAACATTTCATTCAGATGGTCTATCTGCAACAACATAACTACAAGGGGTCTATCCGCAATTAACCCAACAGAAGGACGAACCTGAATGGCCCATGATATTGATTCTGGCTTTTCATCTAGCAAGATAACACAACCAAAGAATATGGTATGCCCATGATTATCAATACCGAGCCATGCCGCAACTGGTCTATCATAAGCATTCAGATGATACGATGTGTCGAAAACCACGACATCTCCAAACATCTTAAACGCGCGAATAGACGTAACATAGGACCAAGCAACATGCTCAAGCTTATTATTCTCATCCAAAGTATACTCATAACGAAAATCTGGATTCTTTTCCTTCACTGACCTGCAAACCTTAAGCAGCTCAGATCCTTCACCTTCTCGATTAATGCTCTTAGATGCCTGAAGAAAATTCCTCATATCTCTCTCAGTGAATGCTAACTGCCCTTGTCTCACTCCCTTCTCCATCTCAAGAGCTCTCATTATAACGCTCTCCGAGCATCCATTCTTTGCTAGAGCTAGGATCCTATCACGATCAACACCCGATATATTTTTATAAGAAGGTGGATATCGAACATCATTACTGTCCATCAACTCATGGTTATGTACATTATTGAAATTTACAACCGACCATCGAGCAACACCCGATGTAACGTTCTTCTTAATCACCATTTGGGCCTCACATTTGCACCGAGATGCCTTTCTATTTCTCTGGCGCTTCACGTCCTCTGTCTTCCTTGGGAGAGGAGGGCCAGCACGATGACACACAAGCTCTCGTTTATAGACTCCCATCGGGTGTTCAGGGTTTCCCTTGGAGCGCTCTCTTCTGACAGAGAAGCCATTGTTGCGAGCAAAAGTGGCGTAATACTCTAAGGCTTCATCATCACTTTGAAAGGATTGGCCTACATAGGGAGGAGGAACAACTAAGGAACTGTCTACAGAGGGTGGGGTTCTGTTAAGTACAAAGTTTGGTTCTGAATTCACAGAAGCTTGTGTTGGGGTGTGATGCTCTTCATTTCCTTCAATGTCGATGTCACATGCATCTTCTCCACACGGGCATGGTTGTTTTCGTGCCAAATTACCATTACTTGATGTGGGCATTCTTTCTGAAATCAATCATGAAGCACTTGTTTAAATCCCAAAGTTTCAAACTTTATTAAAGTTTAACTTGACGCATTCAGAAATAAAGAGTGAAGTGGCTTTTAAGATCATTTATTGGAGCTACCAAGGAAAATCAGCGTTGCGAAATGCCAAGATAATATTGCTGGTTTGGATGTGGGTTTCTTTATTCTTGTTCCAAATAATCAAAAAGCAATCTTTTACAGAAATCAAGTGTTAAGCACTAATTAAATGCCAAAGTTACAAACTGTGTGAAGCCCAAGTTTGAGATATCTATCATACACCAATAAAACAACTACAAAATTACAACACATGACACTTAATTGGGCTTGTGACCTTTTCATCTTCCCAGATATTAATTTTAATACAGGCAGCAAAAGCCACATTTGATAGTCAATTTATATCTAAATCACCTTTAGACGTTTCTTCCTTGCTAACAACTGCATGTACTCACTTTTCAGTCTGAGTTATTTTTTATTATTATTTTGATTATTGATCCCACCTAGGATCATCTCTCTAATTATTTGGTACTTGACAACTAATCATCATTGTAAGATCGAAAAAACTCAACCAAAAATGAGTCCTGGTGACTGATTGCAACAAAAAGCCGTTTAGGGTGATTTATATATAAATTGACAATAAAATGTGGTTTCTGTAAAATAACATTATTTTAAAAGTGGTTTCTAGGAATAAAGCATATTAATTATTCTATTTGTTTGTTTGTTTTTTAATTCTTCTCCTTCTTCTTTTTTCCCCATATTCCAAACATTCAAAATGGGCTAAATACCCATATTGGTATTTTAATTTCATCACATTTATCAAGAAGGTATTTTAATTAGGCAAACATGCTTTAAGGTATTTTAATTGATTCAACTTACCAACAATTCCATTTTTCTCGTCGGCGATCAATTTTCCGGCGAGAGCTCGTCACGTGCGTGGCACGTGATGACTTAAACTGTTTTTAGCTGCTGATGTGGCACAGATTTTCTGACGTGACAATGTTTAAAGACGGGAATTAACACTCTAAAAATCTCAATTCACCCAAAATAGGACAGATCCGTGCTACATCAATAGCTAAAAAACAGTTTAAGTCATCACGTGCCACGCAAGGTTTTAAATATCGGTTATCGGGGATTTATCGGACGGCCAAAATCCTTATCGGATAGCGGAAATAGGGGATATATCGGGGATAAGTAGTATTTATCGGAGTGATATACTAAATGATGTGTATATATAATATACCAATTAAAAAATATAATCTAATCATGCTTAATGAAATATAAACATACCAAAATGTAAATCATCATGTTTAGAATCATTAACTAACTGTAGAAAGCGAAACTTGCATCATAGCCTTGAAAAAATATAATGTTAGTCCAAATTGGCCGATAATCCCGATAATCCCGATAAAAAAGTCTTACTTATCGGCCGATAAGTGCCGATAACGCCGATAAATAGCCGATAAACCTAGAAAAACGATAACCGATTAAAAATCCAATTTATCCTAGCGGAGAGCTCCCAAATCCGATAACTCGGCCGATAATATCGATTATCGGCCGATATTTAAAACAGTGGTGCCACGTACGTGACGAGCTATCGTCGGAAAACTGGTTGCCGACGAGAAAAATGACCTTGTTGGTAAGTTGAATCAATTAAACTACCTTAAGGCTGTGTTTGGGAATGCTGATTTGGGTTTGGATTTGAAATTCTGGGCATTTCAAATCCAAATATCATGTTTGGACTCAACTTTAAACCATGATTTTAAATCAAGTTATTTTATAGAGTGAATTTGAAAAGCCTAAAACTATGGATTTCAAATTTCACCAAAGTAGTTGGTATTTATCAAATCCTCATCCCCACAATCCCAACCCCTCAAAACCCCGACTCCTCTTTTTTTCCTCTCTCACGCTCGTGTCGAAGTCCCGACTCCTCAAAATCTCGATCTCGATCTCAATCTCGATCTCTCTCCATCGCAGGTAGTCTCTTCCTCCTCTCCTCTACTCCCCCCCTCTTCCTTCCGTCGGCCACCATCATCTCCTCTCTCTCTCTCTCTCTCTCTCTGAACCTAGGGTTAGGGTTTCGTAGACTTCGAAGAATCGACGGATGGAGATTCTCTCGAGATCCAGTGAAGAAGACGAGGACGAGTACTTGAGACGCGAGGGTTCCTCTCAAAGAGGTAATAGTTTGATCGTTGATTTTTGAGCTGTTTCTGTTTCTGATCTTTTTCGTTGTTTTTATGAAGGGGATTTTAAGGTGAGATTTAATCTAAACTAACAGCAGTTAGATGTCTTTTATCACCACATGAATTTGGAACCGCAAAAACAATTTTTTTTTGGGTTCTATGGTCTCGTGTCTTAAAAAAAAAGGGGGGGGGGACTATTGGGTCCATGAATTTGAGAATTTTATGGGCTTAATTAGCTGATCATGTACATCCTTCTGCATTCTCTTGCCTCTAGGATTATTTGATGCCTTTGTGGTTTTCATCTTTTGATCTTGTATTTAATATCTCGCTTTTCTCTGTTTGGTGGACTGGTCTGTAGACAGTTTTTTCCCCTCAGTGGATAATTAGCTAGTGAATACCTATGATATATGAACTCCAAGACTTCTATGAACACCTGAGCACTTGATACAGATGAATACTCCCAGACTCGATGACCTGATTTTAGCCATTTGGAAAGAAAATAAGTCTTTAGTTTTTGCTTTGATATGCCCCTTAATTCTTGTTTACTTCAGCAGCAGTGATATTATTATTTAAGTTAGCCGCTTATCCTTTCCTTTGGAATGGGTTTGCTGGTAGTTTTACTGTTTGAAGAAGATGCAAAATATTTTCATCATCATTTATTAGCATCCATAATTGTTTATTGCCTGATTCATTCTTATAACGTTGCTAATTGAAGTAATATCTAGTGTTTATATCTTTATAACATGAATTCATTTTATTTACCTGTATCAGATAGCAAACATTAGTGTGGCACTGCTACTTTGTTCATAATGCCATTCACATGAAGATATATTTTGTATTCTACTTTTAAATAAGAACCTGATATGCATCTTATAAATCAAAGTAGTATAGCCTTGGGTTATATGTTCACTCTTTGCATTTGGACAGTCTTCTGGCATTTGTTGTATATCTATGTCATGCTATGCAACTGAATATGATTATAAAAAATTACTTTAAAGTGGCTTCAGATATCACCGAATAAAAAAATTACTTTGAAGCGGCTTCAGATATCACTGAAGGAAATAGGAGATGTGCATGGAGGGAACAAGGACCACTGATGTGTGTCAAAAGGAGAAGAGATACAAACATGGGGATATGCGGGTAGTTCCTAAGCAGAACGTAGGAACTCACAGAAGTATGTTGAAAAATCCACTATGTCTTGGATCTCAATCATATAGGATGATGTTTTTAAGTATAGTAACAGACTAAGATCAATTTAACTAAAAAGGCTAATCCACTATGTCTTGGATCTCAATCATATATTAAAGACATATCTTTCATCTCCGTCTTTTATCTTGGTCTAAACTCTCTCTTTTAAGTATTAGTATTAAGTATTAATATTAGACAAGGTTCAATTTTACTCTCACTCTTTTTATCTTTCCTATCAAAAATTTTAATCATATTTCTAGAGGAGCATAAATCATATATCGTACTCTAGCTTTGGTATATAAGAATGGATTCTATGGCAGATTGATTATTACCTTTTCAAATTTTTAGTAATGTCAATTGAGTATTACCTTTTTGAAGATGAAGCATTATTTTATTTTCTTCCCATTTCAAGGATTGCAATGAGTTTAACATGGCACATATGCTTCAACCCTTGTGTCCAAATTTCCTTCTTTTCGAATTATATCAAGTACTGCAATCACGGAAGAGAATAAAGCAATTAGGTTTGAAAGTGCATATGTAACAGCAGCAAGTTTAACATGAAGAATCCTTTCCTTAGGAACTATGCTCCACCTGCTCACAAAACCAGTTCATTTCATCACTACTTGCCATAACCAAACTAAAAGTTTCTTCCATACAAGGCTGAGTATGGGAATTGGAAAAAAGGATGCTCAAGAGTCTCATCAGCTTGTCTACATGAAACACATAAAAACCTTTCCTTTCCTCTTTTTTTTGTTTTGTTTTGGAAATGATGATGAAGTGGAGCTGTAAATATTTTACATAAATGAGGGACAACTTTCACTGTGGTGCATTATTTTACTGCTGTTGGCTGAACATACACATGTGCGTCCTGTTGTCGCATAATGCCCTATGAAAAGTGTTCATTTTTCAAACTATGTTGGATTTAGATAGCTCATCATCCTGAAGTTCGGTGATAGTGAGTATACATTTGGTAGCAGCTTGGTTTATCTTGTTTAGGGAAAGGGGTAATTGTTCATGTGCTAGCTCCTTTGATTGCTTCTAGCATGGTTGCACATATTCTTGGTTTTTTTTATCAAGTTGGCATGTAAAGAGGAAGGTCACTCTTAGCACCGCACTATAGGCTGTCTAGTAAAAATTACAAATTAAATGATTTTATTTCTCTAGATATCAACTACAGTTATCCATTTTACTTCCAAAATCAACTAATGTGGGAGATTGGAACTAAATATGCATACAAATCTTTATCGGATGATGACTATTGTTATTAGAGGTAATTTTATTTTCCTCTTAAGAATACATGTCTCATATATCAATTAGCACGGAATCTTATCTATTTGGTAGTTCTATATGGTACATCCTTGCCTAATCTCATTTTACATTTGCATTATTAAAAGAAGAAAAGGAAACACGACTGATGATAAATTAATCAGTTTTCTTCATGAAAGGTTTCAGTCTACGCATTGAGATAGTTTCTTGTTGGACGACGAGATTTGTCAAATCTTTGAACCTGTTTAGGTAAGTTCTCTCTTGGATTTCTTTTTGGACAAGTGCTATGATATATGCCGTTTAGCTGTCTTGAGTAGCATATGCTTATTCTCATGCATTTTTCCTATAAAACTAGTACACTGCATGCATATTTTGTGTTCTAACTCTTGCTTCAAGTTTCTAAACTTTATCAATTTTCGTCATTATGATTTGTTCAACATTAAAAACTATCATGATCATCTTGATTGGATTTTAGTATGGTTTGAATTCATTAGATAATGTTGTCTGTCGATTTTTGTGTCATTGACTAATTGATGCTAAATTGTGTAATGTAGGACTCAATAAATTCTTCGAGACATGAAGTTGGACACAATGGAGAGAAAGGAGAAGAGTTGAAGGATAAATAGAGGATTCTACATATGTTTTCTTTTAATAGTTTATGTTGTAGTAATTTGGCTAGTTGTAGCAAATCATGGTTACTTGTAGCAAATCATGGTTACTTGTAGCAAATCATGGTTATCAACTATCTATAGCATGTTGTATTTTAAATGAAGGCTTATTGTGTAGCCTAGAGCTTCTTATGAGGATTTTTTGCTAAACTCTATTGTGTCATTGAGTCTTTTTATCATGACTAGTTAATGGAGTAGTATTTTTATTCTTTGGGGATCGAAGGTCAATTTAGTATTGATGAAACCACGAAAAAAATGTCATAGACTCATAATAATGAATATTTTGGACATCATTATTATTTTTGTATTCTCTCATACTGATTCATGAAGGATAAGATGTTTGCATGTGAATTTATGATTGCTACTGAAGAGATCGATTTTGATTTTGAATCACTTCTCAAAGTTTATTTCAAATCCAAATTTATGTATAATAAAATATATCCAAACATTAGATTTTAAATCTTTGATTTCAAATCCTTGCCTTTAGTAATGATATCCAAACAAATAATTTTATTAAATCATGGATTTTAAATCCTAGATTTGAAATCCCTTGATTTTAAATCAATCTTCCAAATCCGAATCTTAGTTCCCAAACGCAGCCTAAAGCATATTTGCCTAATTAAAATACCTTCTTGATAAATGTGATGAAATTAAAATACCAATATGGGTATTTAACCATTCAAAATGAGTATAATACCTTAAAACTATCTCGACACTAATGATTCATTTACATTGTTCTTTATGAGCGTAACAAATCAACAAGATTGTAATACTAGATCCCTAATTACTTACTAAACTGAAAGAATCAAAGTTTCTTCTTTAATCTCATTTATTGGAGCAAAATATTACTAAAAGACGAGCTTGATTCTAGGGTTAGCAAGTGCTAACACTGGTTAAATGCCAAAGTTCCTAACTTCACAAATGTAACTTGAGATATCAGCACAAACATTGTTTATAATAAAATAAAATAAAAAGATGAAATTTTTACATCAATTTCAGAACGATTGAGCCATTAAACTAGCTGGGTCAATGAAATTAGGAGGAGACATTAGGTATTGGTACCTGAAGTTTGAAGCATCGAAGGGAGTTGGGGGGTCTGGGGTTTAGAGATTTGGAGTCGCCGGCAGTGTGATATTCCGACCCCTTTTGATGAGGTCGGGGAGAGAGAGGATGTGAGGAGAGAGACCAGACTGAGACTAGAGAGGGCGGAAAGGGGGAAATTTGGGGTGGAGAATATCTAATGGACGCGATTTTGGGGAGCGCAGGGCGTCGAGATAGTAAAAGAGGGAAGGAGTGGAGATCCTACGGCTCTCAGTGAATGTTGATGTACACGCCTGGGGTTTATTTGCAATCCTGAGAAATAAAAGATTTGATCACTTTGAAAATAGAGGCTAAGTATCAGAAAACCCCCCTTAAGTTTAGGGGTTATTAGAAAGCCGCCTTTAAGATTTTTTCGGTCCCCTAACGGCACGAGCCCCGATTTTCATCGGCAAATATATCTCATTTGCGTGATCTTACTCATCCATGTGAAAAATAAGATTAACTCTGTTGAGGAGGGTTTCCTAATAAAATCATGAAGTTAAATGGGGTTTTCTGGTAACACCCAAACTTAGATTTCTTTGAAAGATACGAGGGATTATCTAATAACGGTCCAAAGTTGAAGGGGGGATTTCCTGATACTTGGCCTTTATAGCCTTGAAAATATTTAGAGGGTTATGATTGATTTGGGGAAATGTATTTTTTTTAGTTGATTTTTACAACTTTAGAGTATAACTAACTATTTTTTGACACTTGAAAATCACATGAGATTGGGGAAATATTTCATTGGTTAATTAATTATTAGAACCCGATCCATTTTGAAAAAAAAAACTAAAAAGATATTTAAATGCAGAAAAAAAAATGCAAGGTATATAAGTGCAAAGTCATGTAAACTATTGTATTCCCTATCTAACTGCCGTTATGAAACTTTTAATAGCAATACTTGTGGAACCAACAATCAGCAAAATTCCTAAAACAAAGGTTATACAACCATTGTACGCTCATCTGCTGCATAGAATGGTACAGCTGGACAAAACTACACAACCAAAGCAGGAAATGAATAGTTATGCAATATGTATATGTACATCTCTTTTCTTCTTTCTTCATTTTCATTTTATTTTTTATTTTTTATTTTATATTTTATACAATGTAGAAAATTACACTCAAGCTCATTAAGACAGACCGGCAATGACTACACAATTCAAATATCCAAATACATCAACTGCCATATACACTAAGAACTCAGTTCTGAGTGATGACTACACAATTCAAATATCCAAATACATCAACTGCCATATACACTAAGAACTCAGTTCTGAGTGATGACTACACAATTCAAATATCCAAATACAACAACTGCCATATACACTAAGAACTCAGTTCTTTACATGCAATCTCAATCTCTTCTTCTGTCATCTCAATCGTCCGATCGCTGTCAAACCCTGCGTCATCTTCATCATCAATACCAGCTTTCTGCTTCCCATTCCTTCTCAAAGAACTATCTACATTCTCAAACTCGCTTTCATAAATCTTTTTACAGGTAATGGCCAGTTCACGGAGTTCCCCCTTTGAGAGGGAGCCCTTTTTACTTCTTCCAGTCTCGAGTTCTAAAAGTTGTTTGACGACATGAGGGATGAACATCCACTGTTCCATCACAAGCTGGATGTCCTGAAGCAATTTTATTACGAGAATAAGTAATAATGGGCTTATTATTGCACTAACACCAACAACAATGAAGCCATTATTCCAAATTTAGGGCGTCTCCATTAAGTAAACCGCCACCGTATATTTCTACGTTGCTTCTGATAGGTTCTCTTTAAGCCTGCCTCTAGTACTTGCTGCTCTTTCAGTTACCATCTACCATTTCTCTTAAGTGACACGCCAAATTATATAAATTTGAAGAATTTTCAGGTCTATTAATATATAGCTCCACACAGAAAAAGGAAACAATGACGCCCTTTCTATCCATTATCTCCTCTAGAAAATTTTGAACAATAAAATATATGCTTTGACAATTCAAAATTAAACTGATTCGGAGAAAGAAGTAAATTACCTTCTTTTCCTTCAAAGCTTCTATCACATCGTGTAAACAAGTAATAACCCCTTGTGCAGCTATAGCCTTTATTTCACTTGCCTCTGGCTGTCAGCACAGAAACAAATAATACATTTGCATCATAAACTAAGGAAGCGTTTGGATACCATGGTGTTTTGGGTATTTTCACGGCATTTTTGCCAAAAAGAAACCACCATGCCTTTAGAAACCATGGTGTTTGTATTGGACTACAACATGAAAAAGGTCCAAGAACACCACACTTATTTCAAAACATCAAAAAGGTTTTTCAGGAAAATGCTTCACTTATTAACCATCTCCTCATATTATCAAATTTTTCTAGGAAAATGCTATTCATGGCATAATGAAACATGATTACTGATTAGGCTACCAGATAGTCAATAATAAAAGACAAAAGAAGATGGTAACACAAAGGTCACCTTAAGATGCTATTTAACCATCAGAAAAGCTCTGCCAAACACAACGAACCAGAGAAGTTTACAAAAATTGACAATGTCACAGCATGATATTAATTAGTTATCAAACAACTCAGAAGACCAAGAAGATGATTTGAGATGAATCACCTCCTTCCCTCCTGCCGTGTGCTGTTTGTGTAGTCTTGCGTGACTGGCAACATACATGTTGTGATGGTTAGGTCATGAGAATGCTCAGAAACTAGCATAGGCACTGCCCTTGTTTGCATCATCTTGATAACACATGTTTCTAAAATGCGGCTCCATTTAATTAAAACTTCTTAGCGTTTCATTGTCTGCTCAAATCTCTAATTTTCTTTGTAGACTCTGAAAACGTAACAATTTGGTACTTAGGTCACTTGTATGGATACAATAATGCAAGTTTTTCTTTATTTGTCAAGTTCAATGACAAAATGCAAGGAAATATTAAAATAACAAGAAAATGTATTGACAATCATAATACGTTTGTCATTGCCATGGAGCAGAAGATTCGCCATCACCGCATCGTCTAAAATTTTGCTCTGTTTGGAGATTAAATCTGTGATTAAATTACTATTTCTTTGCTTTTAATTTACATAATTTTAGATGGTTCGTGTTTTACCAAATTGTAATTTTAGATTATCTTTGCAAACAATCATTTAATATATAGTACTCGGAGTTTCGAGTTTAAGACCCCATCCTCTCTTAAAAAAAAATCTTGATATTGTCAAATGTGATTTTTTGAGATAACTGTTGTAGTATATTTTGAAGGAAGAAACAAGAGTGTGCCCCCTGAAGCTCCATGTCATGGCTACGCTATTGGTTGTGGGCAGAGGTTTAGGGGCTGGTTGGATGATGGGGTTTAGTATTGGCATGTCTAACTTTCTAATCTGAACTTTTCAAATTTTTTGCTTGGATGGAAAGTTGAGCGTGGGACCCACTTTCCACCTTCTCTCCAAAATCCTCGTTGGTGTGAGGAAATCTGACTAAGGACTTTGTGTTGTGGCAACAAAATCCAACAACTTTTCCAACAAACTTTGCCTTAAAAATAAACAACAAATTTTAACACATGGGTTTGGTTACGACAAAAATATGAGACTTCCATGAAAGCCTAAGGATTCTATGGAAATAAACAGGCCCTTAGGGGCTGTTTTATTGGTTTCTAAAAAAAGTAAGATCAGATTTTCAAGAAAAAATTACAAAGAAATAGTTTCAACCCGCTTCCTCAAAAAAGAGACCGAAATGAGTTTCTCAGAATGACAGTCCATCAACCAATCCTTGGGTTTCGCATCAGTCTCTTGTTTTCAAAGAGGCATCCAAACAACCCATAAGCGAAAAAGAAGAATGTAGAATCCCCCATTTATACATTTTCCTACTCTTTTCCGTTAAAAAATGCAACCAAACAGGATGATTGTGACAACTTTAGAAAAACAATGCGTATGATTGTAGAGTAGCATGAGTTAGCCCCTGTGGCAGGACACTTGCAATAAGTAGTCAATCACTTAAATTTATCAATCATGTCATCTCATGTATATATACTTTTTTTTGGGCGAAGGATTCATCGTAAGGGGCAGTTTGGTTGCTTCTTTTTATAGAAAAAGAATGGGAAACTGCATGATTGTGGAGTCAACATTCTACTTCTCCATTCTCGGATTGTTTAGATGCCACTTAATAAACAAGAAAGAGGGTAATATGACACCCAAAGATTGGTTGATTTGACTGTCATTTTAAGAACCCCAATTTAGGTTTTTTTTTAAGGAAATGGTTGAAACCATTTCTTTGTATTTATTTCTTGGAAATCTAAATCTTGTTTTTATAAACCAACCAAATAGCCCCTAAGTATAAAACAGATGGATCACTATTTCTTCAGCTATAAACATTAAAAAAACTTGCTTTTGCTGCAAAATATGGTGCTTAAAACATTCATGGAGAGATGCACAACAATGCTAGTTTAGACCAAGGAAAGTTGCATGAATATAAACAATGGTAATATATTATTTGTACAGACACTGTTATGCTATAAAAGTTGATCGAAAGAAACATTCAACAATATTAAAAAGATGGCGCAAGTCAAGTTGACCAAGATCAGACATTGACGCCTCATTTGGTACGCAGGAATGAACAGAAATGGAGTGTCAATTCTAAATTCCTACTCACGTGCGTCAAACACAACATGTTTTTGGGAGATAGAAATCTCATTCCCACTTCTCATCAATTCCCACATCATGTGGGAATGAGCATTCTTAATGAGTTGAAAAGGAATGAACATTCTCACTTAAATGATAATCAAAAAATTAAAATAACTTCCAAAATATGTCCTGATTGCTTATTAATTATCCATATCAATCTTTGTCACTCCTGTTTCATCCTCTAATTACATCCAAGTGTGAGAATGAGAATGAGCATTTCATTCTTACATTTAGTCTATTACATTCCTTACTTCATTGGAGAGTTTATTAAAAAAGACCCTCTTTAAATAAAATTTAGCAAAAACGATATTTTTACTAAAAAGTTGGCAAAATCGACATCTTTTTGACCGGTTCACTAAGGCTGGCAAAAAATAGGTCTATTTTGTAAAATTTGGTGTTGAAAACACACGGGACTACTAGTCCTGTGTGTTTAGCGTTTGCTAATAACCTCCTAAACACAACCCAGATACACACGGGACTAAGAGTCCCGTGTGTTAAACAGAAACCACCTCCGCTTAGCTCCCAACAAATGAACGGGGTTCCCAACAAATGGCAGATTCATACACATAATATTGCACCAAAATCTCTCCCTTCTCTCTCTCTCTCTCTCTCTCTCTCTCTCTAGCAATGAAGGTAGTGGAGAACTTCGCCGTGATCGTTGGGACCTAATAAACGGTAGCTAGACTCTCAGTAAATCCCTAGTACGTAATTTTGCTAATCTTGACATCTCTAGGGTTTAATTCCCAAGACCTTCTCCTCTTACAATACCCAAAAAGAAAAACCCTAATCATCATCTCCCTACTTCATCATCTCCTCTCCAAAATTCATAATGGAAATCCTAGCATGCCACTATCAACCATGGTCGGACCTCCAAGATCCCCATCCTGGAGCGCCTCTCCCTCTCTGACTACATCCACTTCTCCGTCTAGCTCCCAACAAATGAACGGGGTTCCCAACAAATGGCAGATTCATACACATAATATTGCACCAAAATCTCTCCCTTCTCTCTCTCTCTCTCTCTCTCTCTCTCTCTAGCAATGAAGGTAGTGGAGAACTTCGCCGTGATCGTTGGGACCTAATAAACGGTAGCTAGACTCTCAGTAAATCCCTAGTACGTAATTTTGCTAATCTTGACATCTCTAGGGTTTAATTCCCAAGACCTTCTCCTCTTACAATACCCAAAAAGAAAAACCCTAATCATCATCTCCCTACTTCATCATCTCCTCTCCAAAATTCATAATGGAAATCCTAGCATGCCACTATCAACCATGGTCGGACCTCCAAGATCCCCATCCTGGAGCGCCTCTCCCTCTCTGACTACATCCACTTCTCCGTCGTCTGCCGCCATTGGCACTCTGACCAATCCTCCTATCGGCACTGCCACTCTTCTCCCTCTCCTCCGATGTGCCGCCTCCCATGGCTCATTCTCGATCAACATCCCCATCAAGAAACCCTCCCTTGTTACAGCCCCTTCGAGGACAAATTCTTCACGGTTACTCTCCCCTTCTCCCCCCTCTATCTTTAGCCCTTCCCTTGCGGGTGGCTACTGTTGAGCTCCAACTTTTCAGTCAACGACTTCTATCTCTTCAATTCAGTCTCTGGTGCTAAGATCCTGCTCCCTCCACAAGTCAATTTGGACGAGCTCACTTCCAAATGTTCCATTGACAGCTCACCTCTGCCCAATTACACTATTTCCTTCAATGAGGGCTCCTTGAATATTTTCTTGCTCCCTTGGTTCAATTCTAGTTGCTTCAAACTGAAGCTCCCTACGAGACTGATGCCCAGTAATGGGATGGTATCTCACAGAGGGATGCATTACTACTTATGTTGGGTGACTAATACTACATAGAAAACACATGGGACTACTAATCCTGTGTGTTTTCTAGATTGTGCTTAGGAGGTGATTAGCGAGTGCTAAACACACGGGACTAGTAGTCCCGTGTGTTTTCAATACCAAATTTTGCAAAATCGGCCTCTTTTTTGCCAACATTGGTGAGTTGGCCAAAAAGAGGCCGATTTTGCTAATTATTTAGCAAAAATATCGTTTTTGCTAATTATTTTTTTAAATGGTCTTTTTAAAAAAATTCTCCTACTTCATTCCATTCTCATATGAATTGATTCCCACATATCAAATAAGGCATAAATTTCAATTCATAAGGTTAAGAAAAAGATGAGATATATAAAAGAACAAATAAGAAATAAAGTAAATTCCTACTGCACACTGTATCGAGTTTAGCTATTCAAAAATGAAAAACAGAATTAGGTAGATATCAGAGGTAGACTGATTTTACCAATTTACCTTTTCTTCTTGACTCTCCAGCCATGTAACCGTCTTATTTAAGTCATCAATCGCCCACTCTTTTATCTTGGAAGGTGAAAAGTGATCTTTAGTAACATTAGAAAGCCCAACCTATTTAAACAAAGTTGATAACAGTTAGAGCAGAACAAGTGACAATGAGATAATAACATGCTGATAGCAACAAAACTACCAAAATGTCAATTAAGAAGTATGAACCTCAGATGAAATAGTAACTTAAAAGAAAAGAGATTCAAAAGCGCTGCACTGGATACCATGCAACTGCTCTTGTTCTACTCAGAGCATCGACAACAGAAAAGTTTCTCCCAAAATAAACTAGTAATAGACATTTATGTTGCTAACCTAAAATTATAATCCTCAACCCTCGCCATAACTTCAGTGTTTAGGTGTAGTGATAATTACATGGGGAGAGGTGCCTCATGGACAAGTCAGCTTTTGTTCTAGAAGGATATCAGGCCAGAATCAGGCTGAAACCCCTGCCTGGCTCATGCCCCCCTCCCCCCCACCCCATTTCTAGGAACATTACCAAGTCCAAGTCAGGCATATGCATAATAGGCCATAATCTATTAAACTTAACCTAAATAACTGACCAGATATCAAGCAAATAACAGCTAAGAACTGAAGTTTTCTAAGCTACAGTTAAGGTAATAATATGTTGAAACCTCAGAAGGTGATATCGTGATGGTGAATCAGTGGCACACTCCCACTTCCCTTAGCTTCTGACTCCGAACTGCATTAAGTCCCATTGCAAAAAAGCATTAAAGACCCAAGTTTTGAGTTTGGAGCTTTTTTCCAATCTCAACTCCCCACTTCTGACTCCAACTCAATCCGCTCTGCTTCCCATTCAAATTTCTGATGCCGTCAATAGAGAAATAAGTGATTCAATGAATCATAGAAAACAGGTTCAAAATCTATTTAAGTTAAACTGGACTCTTCTGAACTATTTACTATGTTCTAACTTTTAACTAGTAAACTCATTTCAGTATTACCTCACATTCTTTTACTGTGACAGGAAGATGTATCAGGTACAAATACAAGCTGAAACAATCACTGTGTTTTAACTCATGGAATAGGCAAGGCCAAATATTACCGTGAGCACATACCCAATACAAAGAGGTGAACAATCAGGCCTGCAAGCCTGCAGACAGCCTGAACCATATCAGCTTAGGTAAACACCTAGGGCCTGCGTCAATCTTGGAGGAGGGTGGAAAGTTCAGGGCAGTCCCGGAAAAGGGCCGGCAATGCCCGAATCTAGTCTTTTTCCAGCCCTACTCTCCATCACTCTTAATCACACACACAAAAAAAAAGCAAGAATTTCTATTACATTCAACGTGTTGAGGATTCTTCCTTAACATCCACTACGTGTATCCACCTTCTGATATATAACAACCCTTACCGCCCACCTTCTCATATAAAATCCAACTATACATTCTCCTTAAGATCCCATTAGCAACTTTCATCAGCTCATCTGCATCCATCCTCCTATCAGGATAACCAAAATAAGACACTCTTCGTTTTACAGTTCGGTAAGAATGAAATAAAATGTCTTACAGGGAGCAAAAGAATACGAGGTACAAAACAAAGAAAACCCTCAATATTATATGAAAAGTAAAAAAACGGCTTAGTTATTGAATCAGATTTTGGTTAGGGAACAATCAGCAAATGGTGCAAAAAGAACTTGAAATAAGCAATGGATTGACTCGTTGATTAGTTGATCACAAGTTTTTCTTTCCCATACATAAACATCAGCATTCAAGCTTATGGACATGCATGAACCATTTCAGACATCCAGGAAAGAAGAAACTGAGGACTCCATAAGGCGGGTAATAGAATGCTCAGTAGCAGTAGATTTTTCAGTCAAACCATCAGTTTTTTAAAGATCAGGTTTCTAGATTCCATTTAGTAATTAAAATAAATTTGGTATTTAGGAATTATTCACAATGAAGCCAAAAGTTGCTATAAGAAATTCAAGAGAGAGATGAAATGGTCCACCATCATGCAATCTTATTCTTTGAAATCAGACCTTAGACTTGGCAGAGCCGGTGAACTTTTCAGGTGAATTTCTCCTGGGTCGCCTTCCAGATTCTTCATTTAATGCGTCTTTCGGACCTGCAGATTAGAATTTTGGAAAAATAGCAACATAGATCCTAATCTGCTTGCAAATTAATCATAATTGATGCAATATGACAAATGTAGAAAGAAACACAATATTTAGTTGATGTACTTATGCTTTCCATATGCCAAGGGCAATTTCTAATTATTCGCTTTTTCAGAAAAAATGTGACTGGCGACTGGAAAAAGCATAGTTAATAGAATAAGGAAAACAAAGATGAGTTTTTGTAATTCATTGAGTAAAAATATACATGTACGCATTGAAGATAAAACACAAACTATACTAGAGATGATCATCCCTTGGTACATTCAGCCACATAACTGTTACAAAGAAAAGCATGTAACCCTCTAGAACATAAAGAATACATGTTTCCAAATCAGTCAGCATGCATCATTTAGGTATTATGGATCATGATAGAAACATGAAATCTTTATGGGTTATGTCATGGAATCCTGAACTTACCTGCACCAAAGTGTATTATAAAAATAATAATAATAATAAACCATCTTCCACCATAATGGAAATGAAACTATTATGGCATCTGATCTGTAATCCCAAGTGTCCTAGAAAAATTATTCTATTCAGTATTTGCATCCCCACCAATGTCCAAAATGCAAAGAGCAGTCTAGTAGGCAAACAATAATGTAAAAAGAAGATCCTTACAGTCTAAAAAGGTTTAAAAAATAAGACAGAGAAAACTTATCACCTTTCTTATTCTCAAGCTGATCGTTGTTCCTCCGCCATGGTTTTCCAGCATGCATAAGGAATCTCTCAATCTCGACTAGCTTTTTTTCATTATAACACTCTGATATCCACTCCTAAGATGTTCAAAGGTGAGATTAGGAAAAACCTATTTTTTCTGACACATGCTTATGATATTATTCAGCAAGCCATAAATTTCAATGAATCAAATTAAGCTCAGATGTGATTGTTGCGTAATTTATCAGTAAAATACTGAAAAACTAGAATGTATTCCCGGGAAATATTTCTATTATTCGAATGCATGAAAGACATGGACAAACATGTAGCCAACCATGCTAAAGTATGATGCTTGGTAAGTGTTGTTGCAAAACCATTTACAACAACCAAACAGTCTCACTGCCATTTTAAGTATTGGTAAACACTTGATAGAGATTGTACATGACAAAATTATAGCCATTACAACAGCCCCTTGGATACAGCCTTGTTTTGTCGGAACCAATGTTGCTGATAGCGGATCACGGCACGTCGCGGCGAGGTACCGCTAAGGCTATATCGGGCTATTGCGGCGAAATCGCGGCAAATAGCGCACAGTCAAATAACGGTCAAATTTAAATATATTTAAATATCCTGAATAATAAGAAAATTCATAAAAAATCTAAAAATTCAATTAGTTGTAAATTTCTTGTATTATCAATAAATAACAATTAATAAGCTTGTTGTATGAATGAAACTATGAAGAAATTCAAGAAATATAACATCATAATATGTGTGATAGCGGGTTTAGCGGGTTTAGCCGCTTTTAACAACAAAAATCCGCTTTTAACCGCGAAAACCCGCTTTCAACCCGCTAAAATCCGCTTTTACGCGCTATTCGAATGAATAGCGGATTTTCCCGCTTAAGCCAGCCGCAAAACCCCTACGCGTAGCGCTGAAGGACCGCGACCGCTATTCGCACCGCTATAGCCCCGCTATTGGCCGCTATACAACACTGGTCGGAACATAACCTCTCCAATTTCATCTACTTTTTTATTAAGGTCGTCATATTAGTTAGAAAAAGGTACTAGTTTTAAGATTATTTTCTAATCAGTAATTGGAGTTTGTTTCAGATTCTATCTTATTGTTTCAGACTTGGTTTGAGTTACATTTAAGCCATTATGGTCAGGAATTGATTGTTGAAAGGACCTATACATTTGTAACTACTGCAACCAAAGAAACATAAGAGATTATTGATGAATTAATTTATAGGACATTACTTAATGTCCCTTCTTCATTCTCCGTTTGATTCTATCTTCATATCTACTGATACTTCTTTTTGTCTAATCTTCACCATTATACCTTTGCTTCTCCAGCGTACCTCTTTATTGAAAATGCATTTAAGACAGTTCTATTCTTAGGCTGTCTGCTTGGAGAAGGCCACTATACCTCTGTTTAGTTATTTGGGTCCAAGCCCATGGGGTAAACAAAGAAACTAAGCTATGTTAAACTTCCACAGTTTAGCAAAAGGAGGGTTCACAGGAATAACTATGCATGTACATTGACACTCAGTAGACATAAGCCAATTGATCCTTGGTCCTAAACCTTGTCAATCGAACATCTTGTTTGAAATTAACAGATCGTGTGAAGGCTTAACTGAAACCAATTTCAACATTCTAATCATGAATTTGAGACATCAATTTATGGATATAGTCAAATATAGTATTTTCAGATTCTGACCGGGATTGTAGTGGATAGAGTCTCCAATTTAAACTCAATGCAATAGTCAAGCTCAATAAAAGTTGGATCTTTTCTATGTTAGGATTAGAGTTTTTCATTTGCTATATACCCATGATGTTGGATCAATTGGTTTTATTCAGATTTCATCATGTCGGCTTAAAATTGGTTAGTTCGATACCCGAGTCAATTGAAGTTTAGACCTTGATTTTGGACCCACACATCAAACATTTTGTTCATTATAATGATATTAGCATCCAAATTAGAATCACATATGAAAATCCAAAATACAAATACGATTATCAAACTATATTTTTATACAGGACTTTTGTACGTTTACAAGAAAACCATCCATGATCATCAACCAGACACAGTTTAACACAAAATTTTAGTGATTTCTTTTCATTTAGCACAATAACGGTCTGTGTGGATCCATCATTACAGTCAAAATTAGTTTTTTAAATCTATGAGGCACTAACATATGAAATAGAAATTCGAGTTAGAAATTAAAGCATCATGATGTTTTAGTTAATGACTTTGTAAACTGTGATTTTATGCACGGAGAAGAAATCCAAGCATCAAACTACTTTGTGATATCCATGGCTAACCAAAAAGGTTCAAGGAGAACACGGACAACTTGAGCTCAATTTAACGTATGTGCCATGCACATTTGCTAAGAAAACAAATGCAAATAAGAAACATCTCTACTTGAAATAGATCCGTACCTTTGAGACAATAGTTCCACAATCTGAAGCAACCTGTCTAAATTTGGGAGTATTTGGAAATGAACAAACAAGTAGGGTGCAATCCGGGGTCCAATCAGGCCGATATTCCGCCCCCATCTCTAACGCCTGTGACCGTAATGTACTTCTCTCGGGATTAACAAACCCTGATAATGCAAAGACCACACCGTCCTGCACAGATCAAGAAATCAAAACCGAAATTAACGATTACATTGAAAATTTTCGTCAGCATGGAGCCCGCTGTCAATATTACCAGAAGTTTTGCAAACTGTGAATTAGCTTGAGCGCTGTCCCTCCCTCCGGCATGGCTTGAAGTGTGCTCACCAGCATCATCTTGCTTCTTTTTGAGGGGTTTGCTCTCTTTTCCTTTAGAACTCATCCAAGAAGGGGGATTTCTCTTGCCTGCTCCATCATTAGGGTCTGAGCTTGCATCGGACATCATGTATAGACCTTTCATCAAACTGATAAGCAAACATGTCATGCATAATCACACTGGAAATTTCTAGTTTAACTACGGGGCCTACTTAGTTTCAGTCATAATCAAAGGTCCAAGGTTTCATAAATTATTGATTGAGTGTCACACTATTGGCTGGTTCCCCAAATTCTGCATTCAACACATATACATCTTTTGATCAAGAAACAAGAGCTCATGCAACCAAGAGATAAAATATTAGCGTAAAACGGGAGAAACTCTAGAAATATAAGCTTTGATGATTATTTTTAAAGTAGCAAAAAAAGTTATGATCTTCTTGATTAAAACTAGTGTAGCTAACGGCATTGCGACAAAATCAGAGAGCGAGCTTAATTTCAAATTTACAAGAGAAACGACCAAATAAAACTAAGCTGAAATCATCAAATCCGAGCGTTGAAGAGGATCGCGGCGGAGATCGAGGAAATTTTGCAACGAAAGAGTAAATACGAGAGAAACTGGGGGAATTTTTTTATACCTCTGGAGGCTTGAATTAGGGTTTTTTGTGGGTTTTTTAGAAGAGAGCGGGGGAGAAAATAAACTGAGGGCTGATTCCGAAATTGGAGGAAAAATTGATTTAGAGGAGAACTTGAATGGGCTGAATGATTTGGGCCAATCATGCGGTTTATAAAAGAATATCTGAACAGATTCGAACTGAAAGGGGATGGCAATATTATTTTATTTATTTATATCTAGTGTGTTATTAACATGACACACATTTACATCATTATAATTTAAAAAATTAATTCTGCATGCTAAGATTATAACGGACAACTAAAATAAGTTTCATGCCGACAATAGAAGACAATAGAAATCAAAAGTATGAAGGAACAAGCCGATTTCGGGTTCTCTGTTAAAATACACAAGTGAGTCAGAAAGAATTTTTTGGAGAAAAATTATAAACAGAATGAAGTTCTAAAAGTGAGAAAGAATTGTTTGAAAAGATACTTTAGAAGTTAAACATAAATTTCCCTCTTCCTCTGAGATCTGTACACAAAAGCTATGGTTAGTTTAATGCATAGTTGTGACCAGTGATAGTTGGTTTAGTTTTAGTTTTTCTTGAACTAATTTTTCATTATTTTCTAATGCATAAATTTCCCTCTCATTTTGAAATATTAGAATGAGTAGTAATGCTGAATGATTGAATCCTACCTAGGCTCTAATGCAATTTACCTATAACTATGGTAATATAAGTTGTGGAAAATGATAAGTTGAGTGTTACATTCATGTAATTCTAAGACTACTATAGCTTTGGTAATAATGCACTACAACCAAATCATCCTTAAATATAGGTTAAATTGCACATAAACCCCTTCCTCCATACTTTGGTTGCACTAAATCACCTCAACTCAATTTACTAGCAGTTTGCATCTTGAAATGCAATTTTTCAAAAGATAAATTGCAAGTAACTTCACTCTTCTCATTAATTGAAGGGGAGTAAGTGCTAATAGATGAGTTAGTAGAGTTTTATTAGTTTAGTGCAACATAAAATATAGACTATAAGGGAGCTATGTGCAATTTATCCTTAAAACATATTCGATACAAGGTCATTAAAGTCTATGTGTCTCTATAAATTAGAATCAGCCACCAAATTTCCCTAATGTAATTTCATTTGTTCTGTAGCATTTTCCTATGGATTTAGATAGCTTGTTGCATAATAATGGGCTATGTTATAATTCAAAGGAGTTTCATAGTTGACCAACATGGAAATGGAGATACAAGGATTATGCTGGAGGCAATCAATTCTATTTCTGACTACAACAAACACTTCATCAGAATCAATGTTCATCGAGGAGTTTATAGGTCAGTTAAGGACTTTTATATATCAGTCAATTCATTTGCTTGTGTTTTAAAATTAAAACTCTCTTGCAAAGTTCTGCTTAAAATTTTGGTTTTGTTATTTGTAAGGGTCAACTGCAACTAGACCCACTATAGTATCACTGAATTACTAGACTTGCTATAGTATCCTGTGTAGTATTGGGTCGAGTGCGAATTCACCCCCCTGGAGAACTTTTTCGACTCTTTTAAAAGTAAAAAAAAGCAACTGGGGGTTTATTGTCACCACTAGAACTATAGAGGGTGTGTCCGCCTTCTCAAACCTTTCTAATGATCTTAAGAATCAAAAAATTCATTGAGAGGGTCTAATCGCACAAATAAAAATATACCGGGCCTATTTGATATTGGGTGATACTAAAGGGGTTTGTTTTCTTTTGTGTCACTGAGCTAAATAATCTACTTGTCACTAAACAATGACCTGAGAATTATGCTTTAAAAAAATTCTCTAGGGCTGCGTTTGGGAACTTGGATTTGGATTTGAGAAGTTGATTTAAAATCAAGGGATTTTAAATTTAGGATTTGAAATCCATGATTTAAGAAATCTTTTGTTTGGATATATTTATTAAATAAAAGGATTTGAAATCTTTGATTTCAAAATCTAGTGTTTGGGTACTTTATTATACATGGATTTGAATTTAAAATTGATAAAAATTTATTCTCTTAACCCATCTTGTTTACATCAAATGCAATGGAGATGTGTAAAATATTAACCAAAAAACACAAATTTAGGTAATTTTGGCGATGATAGCTACATTTGCTAAGTTTTCAAATTCATTGCCCACCATAACTTGCAAGAGTTTCAACAAAATAAAAATAAAGAAAACTCTACAAACATATCAAGTATCTTAAAAAAAACATCTAAATAATACATTACCATTGCATATTTCACAGATATCCAGACTGAAAAACATTTGAGGCTTGTTTCATATTTCATACATATTCAAAGTGAGAATAAGTTAATATCAGAGAAAATAAGTAACAATTCCATTATATTCTCAAATGCAGGTACATTTGACAATTACATAGTCAATTTGGTCTTTGATATACCAAGAGAAATGTTAATAAGAAAAAATTCAAAGAGTTACAAACTGAATAGCATGTGAGAAGAGAAGTATCCTTGATGTAAAGAAATTGTAACTGGGGATTCAAAAGTGCTTGTATGATAAACCCTATCCGCAGCAACAAAAGAGTAATTCATTAGCCATCACGATATGAGCCCAAAACCTGCAAAGAAAATGAGCAGATCAATAAATTTTTTTTAATCAAGCTAACAAGCTAACAAAAAATGCCGGATAAGTAAGACTGAATAAGATAAGCATAAAAGCATATGGAGACATGTGAGAGTATTGGTTAGGGAAATCAATACACTAGATGATACACAACTTAATAACAAACATGAGAACTACATTTGCGCACACTTTACAACTCAGCCTAACATCATACATGAGACATAGGCACTCAAATTTGTGTCGTGTGCATATACAACTGACCTAATATGAGTAAACTGACATAACTATCTATCACAATGACATTAACAAAGTGGTGCTAAAAATACTTGTAAAAGGAGAGCATCAAAGTGTACATAGTGTTTAGGATGGTTTTCCTAGAAGGCTTGTTTCTTTTCACTATATATCATTTCACTGAAGTGATTGAAATACAAAAGTTTAGAACAAGTGTAACAACCATGTGACAGGTCTCCACTTTAGGCTAACTTTGGCAGATTCAATGAAGAAGGCAGACTACATTTTTTTACAGCAATATATATATTTATTCTTATTGTTTCAGCAAGGAAGAAGCTCTCCATGTGGTCATCCTGTTTGTGAGACTCAACATCTGCAATATGGCAATAACCACATGGGCATCTTGCACCATACTGAAGGCTTGCCAGCATGTCTCGCCCAGCATCAAGATACCTGCATTAGCATAACAAGTTGCATAATGTAAAGACACAGCAGATGAATAGTAAGTCTTCCAAAAATTTTCGAAAGGCTACAAAACAAAATTATGCATAATGGAAAACAAAAAATCAGTCAGAATTCATACTAAATAAGCTTGAAATGTACACTAAGCTATCCTCCACTTAGACTATATAGATAAACAAAGATTAAGAGTAATTATGGTGATTTGGCATGTATTAACCATAAAAACCATAAGGAAAGTACTTGCATGTATTTATTAGGATTTGTCATGGTCTTTCATGTAGTTAACTTGGTCAAAGATGAAGGCCAGTTTCATCGATCGCGGAGGAAGTTAGAACACAATTAATTTGGGGAATATATGAGGAGAATCTGCAGGCATAATGGCATATGAATGACCAAAATATAAACGATCTCAGGTCCTCAAAAAATATTAGCTGATTAACTCAAAACCCCTAGTGCCCATCACTGTTCTTTTGTATTTTCTAGTCCTTATGTGAAACCAAAGGCGCATAGCCTCTTTAGCTCTCTGTAACATATTAAATTCACATGAGCTCAGTAACTCAATAAAGCAAACAAAACAACCAATCTCATATAAAGAATTGATCTTGACAGGCTAAACTCTGGAGTAACAAGAGAGTAACAAGAATAAGATATTTTTCATTAAGAGGAATATGAAATATGAACTTTATGGTTCAAAATAAGGCAAACCTTGGATCTCTGGTAGCCTTGAATAACCAATATGTGCTCTCAATCAACTCTGGACGTAGTGGGTAACTCCTTTGACCATGCTGAATGCGCTGAAGAGTGCAGGTGGTATGTTTTGCTGTTGGTATATATGACTATTTCATGAACCGTCATGTTGTTTTATGAATCAAAACAATAATTACATATATTTGCAGTGTGAATTTCTAAATGATGGCATGACATAATTTTATAAATTTATGAATCAAATCTATTAGAATGCAATAGATATTAGAAGGTGATATGTAATGAATATTGTCGTTCACATGAATATGAAATAGTCATATGCACATCAAATATGAAACCATAGAGCCCTTCAGTGCTTGGTGGCTAGTAGGAACCGCAAAAATAATGAAAGGAGTCTCCTGCTGGCTAGTAGAGATCCCGTAATCGACGAGACAATGTTGCATTTCTATTTGTAAAATGGTCATTGTTTTTGCATTGAGGGTCCTCTCATGATCATTGTTTTTGCATTAGCTAATAAAACCCATCATTGGACTGCCATATCTCTTCCGTCCTTCAATTCTATTTGTAAAATTTTCCAATGCCTAATGGCAACAGCGTGCGCCCTCATAAAACTCTGAAAACTGAAAGCCCTTAGGATTCCAACTAATTGTTAATTTGGAGTAATGATATCAGACACTATTATTGTAAGAACAATGCCTTCTTCGAGAATGTAGATAACTATGATTGATAACTGTATTTTGGCCCCTCCCAGGAGGGGAAAACCCAGCTCTGCCACTCAGATAGATAACTAATTAGTAGTCGAAGTTAAAATCAAAGGAGCAACATATTCCGATCATATTAAATGATTATGAGAACATGTAGCATATTAACGTCATTGTCGCCATTAGGGACTGCCTATTGATTTTCACTTCTCAATATGTGTTATTTCGTGTGTTCTATTTCAACATAATCACTAGAATTTGCATGTGCCTTTCAAATACTATGATAAGATAATAAATGACAGAAAGAAAGAAAGAAATCGATCTTCAGAGGCATCAAATTCCACACAAAAATCAACGACGGGAGGAAAGAAATCCATACCTTGAGATCAAGGATCGACGAGTACGACCGTTGCTTGGCGAGCTTGAACGCTCGGAGGAGGATC